GACTTTGACCCTTCGGACAGTCTACAGCTAAGACCTCTAGACTGCCTAGACTCCTACCCGACAGGTCTACAGTTCGAATCCCTTCTACCCTGTAACCTACGAGATCTTACCTACCACTGGCGGTCCTACAGGTTGCAAGTTCAAATCTACGGGTTGACACAGTTACTGTACACAGGTAAGGTGGGGAACTAGGGATCATGCCCTAGGATCTGCATCAGCTACTGCGAAGTGGTGAATACCGTTTCACAACTGTAAAACAGATTATATTCTATTATTTTGTATTGTATATTCTTGAATAGTATTTATTGTTGTATTCAAGAATGAATCAATAGTTGTGAATGTTATAATATTTGCACTATTTATCATCAAAAGTGGGGGTAGAGGGGATCGAACCCTCGTGGCTTAAAACCAACTGAATTTCATGTTTCTTAATTTACATTATGACTCTCTTCGAGCTAGCTCTCTTTATCCTTGTATTTTCTTCTGTGCATTTGCCAAGTTTTCTGAAATTGATTGTGTGTTCCTTCCTTTGGTCCACTTGTTCCTTCGGGTGAAGGAAGCGTTTCTTAATTCTTAACGATTTAATCCTTTGCTCGCCTCCGCTTAACTGGATCACTGTGGTGAATGTGGACGTCTTTCAGTCTGAGGTGGCTGTGGACATGCGACAACGGTTTGTTGGGCACTGCAACACCGGAACGGATATAAAGCAAGCAAGTTTTCTAGGAGACAGAGGTATTCTGCTCGAGTGCAGCTGCTACTTTTGCAGTCTCGTTTGCTTTCCAGTTTCATTATCTTTCCCTTTGGTTGTTGATTGCTTGTCCTATTTTCCTCCCTTTCTCTCTCACACACACACACACAGACGCAGTAAAGAGGGAGCAGCAAGAAGACGAATAAAAGCAAAGACAACAAAGAAGGACCTGGATAAGCATCAGGAGATTGCGTGACCACAAGGCAATATCACGTTTTTTGTGTGCGTCATGATGTTTGCTTTAGGAGATTCTGGATCTACGCATCAATTTGCATGTTGAAGAAGCTGAGCTCAAGGAGTTTGTTTCATATCTGGATCCACTCATTTGAGTGGAGGGGTTGTTATGGTGACAGTTTAAAACACAGAGTGGGAGGTAATGCACCGCTAAAAACTACAGAGGTAAATGGGCTGATTTGTCAAAACATCATCGCGAAGTATTACACAGTAATATCATGGAAATACCATTCCGATTAGTGGCGGCTGCTGCAGGGTGGCGACTGTACAATGTATGATCTGCAGCTGTCCTCTTGGGTCGAACGTCCGCAATGCCAAAATGTTGCCACATGTGCGGTTTGCCGCGATCGCGGCGAGCCGTGAGATGAAAGATTCTCAGGCGTCCAATGTAAAATCTGACGCGCCTGTCATGGCGGGAAAATGTGCTTGACGTTGGATGTGATTCTGATGTACGGTAGGATGTGTTGTTGTGCTTTTGTTTTACGTGTTGCTTTGTTTTCTTTTGTCGTCTTTGTTTTGATGGTGTGGTTGGGCGCTTGAATCCTGCATTGTGCGTTGCCGTGATGCAGAATCGTGCAATTTTGGAGAGTTTGAATGTTTTGCAGTTAGCAGAAAACAAGTAAAAACTCACTAAAAAGGAAAAAAAAAAAAAAAAAAGAAAAGAAACGGATGGGGGCGTGTCAGAAATGTGGATGACACTGATCCTTTCGGCGGGGGCATGTCAGAAACTACCTTATGCCGCTTCTGAAACCGCCCTCGGAGGCCTGCTTGGAAAAGAAAACGAAATCCTTGAACTGTTGACATACAGACCTGAGTTCGAACTCCACTAAAAGCAGATGAGTAAAATACTAGGATTCTGAATTAGCTAGGGCCGGTCAGTTCGATGATGTCTTGTTCTGTTTTTTTTTGCTTTTTAAAAAAAATAAAAAATAAGGACAACTTCAATTCATATTGTGGTGGGGTTATCGTTCGATGATGTCTCAAGGCCGTCACATTTCTAAAAAGAAAAAAAAAGAAAAAAAAGAGCCGAAACCAACGCTCTAGGGCCTCACGGCACTCCTAACCACATGCATAAAAACAAAGCGGTGTATCTTTCCATTTTTTCAAGAAGATTCATTTTGGTGAGTCGTGGAGCGAGGCCCTGGCTCAACTGGTACACCAAACACTATTGAAATACAGATGGCGCAGATTGCACGCAGGGCAAACTCTGATCTGCCGACGACCTACGCGATCTACCTGCGTTACGCCAGCTACCTGGCCGACGCGATGGGTACGTCCTACCTGCTCTGCCACCGACCTATGCGACCTACAGTGGCCAGCGACCTGCCTGGGTGGCGTGATCTACCTGCCCTACACGACCTAGCCATCGTGCTACGAAGCACTACAGAAGCACAGGTCAGGCGTCTCTCTCTCTCTCTCTCTCTCTCTCTCTCTCTCTCTCTCTCCCCCCGCCCAACTTCCTTCCACCCGACCTCCGCCTAACCCCCACGAACTCCCCTCTCTCTCCACCCGAACTCTACCTCCTTTTCCCTGGCTTCCCCCCTTCGTGCTCCCTCCTTAACCTCCGGCCTACCTCCTTTTCCCCTCCCCCCTTCGCCCGACCGCCTTCTCCCCTGCTTCCTTCCTCCACTCGGCCTCTTTTTTATTCTTTTTTTTTTAAAAAAAAAGGTCAACGGCCATGAGATATCATCAACTGAATGGCTCCAGGTAATGGATTTATTCTGTTCATCTGACAGATCGAGATTCAAACGTGGGTTTGAATTTCAACAATTAATGCATGTACCAATTGAGCTCGCGTGTTGCTACTCGGCCTCTTTCGATCCTTCCCTCCATCCCTCCATTCATTGGACCGCTGTCTAATTCCATCCAACCTCCTTCACAGCTCCTTCCTCCCTCCACTTGACTGCTTCCCTTCCGTCTCCGTCCGTCCTTCCCCTCCCTCCGCCAGAACTCTGCTCGACTTGCGCCCGATCTCCTTCATGTCTGCACCCCTGCCTTTCCTCCCTCCAATTGTTGCCGTTCTTACCACCTCCGTCTGTCCAGCTGACCTCCACCCGACCTTCACCGCGGCTTTGCTCCCTCTGCTTGGTCTCCACTGGATCTCACCTGTGCGTGCCCTCAGCCTCCTCCCTTGGACCTTCCTCCCTCCATCCCACTTTTGCCTGGCTGCCTCCTTCCTATCACGTCCTCCCTCCTCTCTCCCTCCTCCATCTCGCCTCTGCCTGCCCGACTTCAGCGACCTCCTCCCACTCTCCACATGACCTCTGCACGACCATGTTCCCCCTTTCTTCCGTCCTCCTTCCTCCCTCCTGCATCTCTCCGCCCAACCTTTCACCCCAGCTTCCCCTAATCCTTCCCCACTTCCTTCCCCTGTCCTTCCTCCCTCCGCTTGATCTCTGCTAGACCCCCTCCATCCCTCCTTCCTTCCTTCCGCCTCTCTCCCACTTTCTGAGCTACGTGACCCCCTCCCCCCGACCGCCAGACCTCTGTCGAACCTCCTTTCCCCCTCTGCTCGACCTCAGCAACCTCCTCCCTCCCTCCGTCGGATTGTCGGCGGAGTTCATCCCCTCCTTCCTCCCTCCCTCCTTTCGCCCTCCGTGGCCTCCTCCTTCCATCCACCTGATCTCCGGCCAGCCTCACCTCCACTCGACCTGTGCTCTCGCTCCGCAACCTCCTCTCTCCACCCGCTTGATTTGTGTGACCTCCGCCCTCCCTCCATTCGACCTTCGCTCAACGTCTTCCCTCCCACCGCGGAACCTCCACATGACCTTCACCCTTTCTGTCTGCTGGACCTCTTTCGTCCATACTTCCTCCCTCCTGCCTCCTTTCGCCCAAAACGTGGGCCTCCCGGGTCTGGGTCCCGACCGGACGTCCAGATCATGTGCCTGGCCCAGGGAGGCTTGCCTCCTGGTGAACCTGGCCCAAGGCGCGGCCTTGGGGATTGCAGGTCCGAAACGACTCCTGAACAGACAAAAATAGGACATCAAATATATAAATAAATAAATAAATAAATGCTGTCTCGAATTGAAACCTGCGGCCTAAGGGCCAGCCGTGGGCCTCCAAGGTGTGCGTCTGAACGGCATGCGGCCTCAAGGCCCCAAGCAACCGTCGGGCCCCGAAAATGGGGCCCGTGTGCAGGCTCAACGTGTAACACCTCCCCCCCTCCTTCGGAAGCCAAGCCGGGTCGAGGGCGAAATTGACGATCCGATACCTGGACGTGAGTATGGCGTGGAGCCGAAGGTACCGGCTTGCCTTGTATCTTGCGCTCGTAACGTGTGAAGACGTCGGTGGCTGTCGCCTCAAGTTCCACACGGGTCAACCAACAGTCAGCCTTATGGCTACAATACGAAAAATGTACACGGGTCAACCAACGGTCAGCCTTATGGCTACAATACGAAAAATGTACTAAGTACTCGATTGGCTTGTTGCCATATCGTCGCTGGGAGATGATGTCACCGACCTCCTGAAAACCGTCCATGGAGGGTGGGTCTTGCAATCGTCGCCCAGGAAAGTCATCGTGTTCGGCTGAAAAGAGACTTGGAACAATGAAAGACCGGGTAGACGGGCAAGTGGGCGGGCACCTGAATGACGAATGAAGGTCCTTCGGGCGCATCCTCAGCGGGTGCCATAATGCGCCAAGGCCCCATCCATTTTGGAAGGAGCTTGGGAGAGATATCCTGTTTGAGGCCGAATTCCAAAGCGGAGACCCAAACGAGGTCTCCGGCACGGAATGGACAAGGAAGACGCTGGCGATTGGCCTGTTAGCTCATGCGTTGCTGTGTCTTCGACATCTGGTCACGTGCCTTGACAAAAAGCTCTTGCATCCGTCGAATGAAGACAAGGTGGTTGTCGCTCTCGGTCGCCCGTGGGATGATCGTGTCCAAAGGAGAAGTGATCGGCGAGCCATCCCCGAACTCAAAGGGTGACATCCCGATAGCCGAATGAATGGATGAGTTGTATACCATCCCGACATCCGGCAGCCTCTCAACCCAATCCTTTTGGTCGGGACAGATGAGAGTGTGAAGAAGAACCTGTGAGGTTTGATGTGCCCTCTCTGTTTGGCCATCGGTTTGTGGGTGGCTAGCCGGACTCTGCTTGAGAGATGAGCCCCATCGTTTGATGAGAGCCAACCAAAAATCGGACATGAACCGAGTGTCGCGGTCGCAAATGACCTCCTTGGGGTAACCCTTGGTACGAACCCAACGGGCGTCAAGAACCTCGCCCAACTTTGGTGCCTTGGTGTGATAGCGGCAAGGCGAAAACATGGCGAACTTGGTGAGTCGATCGACCACCATAAGAATCCCATGCACATGCTGTTTGTGGCATGACCGCACACACGCTCCTCCCAGCACTTGCGCTAGCTCACGGCCGTGGCCGCGAGCACTTGCTCTAGCAGCGCTGCCGCAATGCACATCGGTGCCCCAAAAAGGCCCCCAATGCCCCACCCGTGCCAAGCTCTTTGCTATATGCAAGTGGCCTGGCCTGTTTGCTGCTCGGCCCGACGTCGTGTGTGCCCAGTAGGTTCAGATTGGGCCGAAGTGTCTGCACCCAGGCCTGTTCAGACAGTGGCCTGGGACCAAATTGGTTGGGCTGCCCAACCACCCAGGCGCAAATGTGCGATGTCCTCTGCTTCGGCCATGTTGCTAGAAGGGCCTGGAAGGCTCACAAATCTTTCCCATTCTCATGTGCAAGGCGGATGTAACCAACTGGCGTGTGGCAACTGTCCGGCGCCGACCAAGATTTGCAAAAATCGACGAGTTCAGGGCGCATTGAGATTCAGGGGGCCTGCCTTCACTTAGGGTGGGCATTGGCCTGCTGCAGGGCCATATGCCGAGGGGTCAGACCCTCGCACTCCCTCCTCCTTTACTTCGATAGTCCGCTGAGTTGTTGTTGTGTAGGGGTGTTACATGTTGCGCCTGCACACGGGCCCCATTTGCGGGGCCCGACGGTTGCTGAGGGGCCCCCAGGCCGCATGCCATCCATCACGCGCCCTGGAGGCCCACGGTGGCCTTTTAGGCTGCAGGTACAGCCTGAGGCAGCACTCATTCATTTATGTATTTATTTATTATGTATGTGCTGTCCTATTTTGTCTGTTCAGACGCTGCTTCAGACTTGCAGTCCCGAAGGCACGGCCTTGGGCTGGGTGCACTACAGGCGAGGCCGTTTTCAGGCCAGGCCGCGCGCCATCCAGCATGCACCCTGGAGGCCCACGGCGGCCTTTTGGTACCGGCAGTTGTTCGTTCAGACGTAGTTTCGGACTGCAGGTCCCGAGGCAACACTTTGGGCCAGGTACACAGGGACGAGGCCACTTTCAGGCCAGGTGCCTTTTGGTGCCTCGCTGCATCAGCAGCGTGCTCTGGATATCCGGTAGGGGCCCAGACCGAGTAGGCCATTTGAGGCCAGTGCCAGAGGCGCGCCCAGCAGACCCAGCGTTACTTATAGCTGGGCTGAGGCTGGGCAAGGAGAGTTCGAGTAGCTCACTTCTTGAGCGTCACGCTGCGCTGTTTAGCGCTGCGCTACGGAGATAGAGGCTGAGCATCGGAAGGCAGAGGGGTGGAGGCCATACCTGCGACAGAGGGGACTTACCTGGTGCCATAGCTGGGACTCCCCGTGCACACGCGACCTGCACACGACGACAGAGCGGCCGTCAGTTCGACGTTGGCACCTGCAGGTGAGGCAGCGAGGGAGGCGACGTCTTCTTCTTCTTCGTCGGTCTCCCTCTCTTCTCCCTCCTTCCCCCTCCTTTCCCCCTCTTCTTCTTCTTCTTCTTCTTCTTCTTCTTCTTCTTCTTCTTCTTCTTCTTCTTCTTCTTCTTCTTCAGATACGAGAGAGAGAGAGGTTACAGGCAGAGGATACAGGCAGAGGTTACAGTGGGCATAGCGCCCAGGATCTGATCCAACATTTTTGAGGCAGGGTGTTACATGCTGCGCCTGCAACAGGCTGCACGGGCCATTTCCAGGCCCGCGACGTTTTCAGGCCAAAAGTCTGAAAACAAGGGCCTACAGGCCCTGTGTCGTTTCAGCCTGAAAGCCTGAAAACTGAAACAGTTTTCACCTTTGGCAGTAGCCGATGCAGATCCCAGGGGTCGATCCCTTGACCTCAGCTTACCTGTGTACAGTATCTGTACAGTTCCCTGGAGTTGAACCCGTGACCTGCACGATAGCCAGTGGTAAGTAGG